TTCTTCTTTTTCCCTGGTATCTGTTATTCTTTCAATATTTCTCATTTCCTATCCTTCTTTTTTTTTTTTTTTGTATTTCATCCGTTTGGTAGGTTACAGCCACTTACAAAAAGCGCCATGGTGTTTTTACCATTTAAAAGGTGTTGAAATAAATACAAATAGTTCAATCAATTTAGTGTGTTCTTTAAAAATAAATAAATAATAATAAATGCTATTTTAATATGTAATCAAGAATACAAATGTAAGTGTAATTATTATTAATATTAACTTTGGCATTGATTAATAATAATAATAGTCATGTGTATTTATTAACAAATTAAATAATAATAATATGGTTAATAATATGCTTATTAATAATTCAGTTAATACTGAACTTTAAAAATGTAATTATTATTAACATTAATATAAATGATAATGTAATTTTTAAAATAATTAATAATTAAACTTTATTATGAATGCTAATGTTAATTTTAATATGAATAATACGTTTAAAATATTTTAGTATTATTAATTAATTATTAATATTAATTATATAAATTATTATATAATATATTATATAATATTAATTAATATATATTTTTTAAGTGATATAAAAATAAATAACGGGGGAAATCCTTATGCAAGTTATTTACTTATCACTTTTATATTAAATACGTATATTTTAATAATAGTAAATTAGGTTAAAAGTATAATTATTATAAATATTAAAATTAACATTAGCATTAATATTAATAATATAATTATTATTAATGCTAATTTTAATTTTAATATGAATAATTACACTTTTAACTTTAGTATTATTCAAATATGAACATATTTTAAAAAGTGATATAAAAGTAAATAAAAATAAGGATTTCCCCTAGTTTTAAATCAATTTAGTATTATTATAATGTTTTTGTTATTAATATGCTCATTTTAATGTGAATAATAATTACAGTTTTAACTTTAATTTACTATTATGAAAATATAAACGTATCCTTTGAAAAGCGATATAAAAGAAAATGACCTTAAAGGGTTAGTTCACCCAAAAATGAAATGGGGGAGGGGGCGGGGGATTAATATATTCAAACACAATGAAGAGATATATAATATTTTTGGTATACTATGGGATATCTACAGCAGTAAAAGAACCAAAACCCCAGAAGACATTGAGCAAATAAATGTAAAATTGACAACCTATTTCCATGTCTTCAACCTTTTTTTATGTACGGAAATCACGCTTTCTTTCTCCCGTTCTCTCTCACACACGCACACACATAGACACGCACTCGCGCACACACGCAGAGACGCGGACAGAAACTTGTCATCAGCGCTGCGGCTGACCCGCGAATTTATCAATAAGAGTTTCGCAGCTGAAAAGCTATATGACATTTCTCAGTAGCGAGGTTCTTGAAACAGTTCAAAGATTCGCTATTAGTAGACGCTGCTGCTGAATACTGCTGAGAGACGCACAGACGCAAGTATTCACACGCACTAATCGCTCTCTAATAACTGCGTTAGACTGCATATCAGTGGCTCAATCCTCTTTATTAGCTCTAAAATTACGTTTTGGAATTTGCAACAAAGAGAAAGGAAAAATTGAAATCGCATCATATGACCCCTTTAAGAACTACATTTGATTTTTATTGACTGAACGCAAGCACTTATTGCGATAGAAAACACTGTAACGGTTTGCACTGATTAAGAAATATTTTTGTTTGCTTGGGTGGTAATATTAGGCCTAACATATTAATAGGGAAGGGGGGCCCAAAAATTAGTTTTGCCTATGTCACAAAAAGAGGGAATTCTGGCCCTGCCCGTAAGACCTTCGTTCATCTTCGGAACACAATTTAAGATATTTTTGATGACATATGAGGGCTCTCTGACCTTCCAATAGACAGCAAGGTAACTACCACGTTCAAGGTCCAGAAAAGTACCAAGATGATCGACAAAGTAGTCCGTGTGACAT